TTTTAAAATTATTGGGTTTATTAAGATGATTATTTTGAGTTTGGGGTTTTATAATGTTTTCCATATCGTTTTTAAATTTATTGATATTTTCATTAAGCAGATTTATTTTCTCATTGAATTCAATTGAAATTTGATTAAGTTTACGAGTGATTATGTAAGTTTTTATTTCGGAAGGTGATTCATTTATTTTACTAGTTACCATAAGTTCTACCATTTCATATTTTCTTATGTTGTCTTTTAATAACTTTAGTGATGAATTATCTAATTACCCCATGTATCTGACAATATTTGGTTTAAGACCCTTCATTACATATCGAGTTATTTCTTGTTGGACCATTACAGAATCTATGCGTCTACAAAGTGATTCAATTTCATTAATATATGCCATAGGTAGTTCATCATCTAATTGCTTTCTTTTCTCGAGTAGTAATCAAAGTATATCTTTATGAGCAATGGGTTCGAATTCATTTCAAAGTTGTTTTTCTAAATTAATCCATTTATTACAATTTTGATTTTCGATGTTTTCATAAAAAGTTAGTGCTGGGCCCTCTAAAAATGCAGGTATATATTATAATTTTTTTAGTTCAGTCCAACCATTAATGGTTGATGCTCTTAATGGTCTGCTCTTTGATATATTTTTTTTAAAATTCATCTATGCTCCTAGATGAAGAACCAGAAAATGTACTAGGTATAAAATAGGGTTTTTTACTATCGATTGTATTTAATTTTTGACAATTTTCATTTATTGTTACGAAATCGTTCGAGCAAAATTCACCGTTTAAATATTTTACTAATCTATTTTTAAGATCTGCAAATGTTCCTACACTATTTCAATTTCATTTATTTAATTCTAAAATAAATTGAGGTTTTTTTAAATTTGTTTATTTCAATTAACAATGAAGCAAAAATTGGTTCTTCTATTTCATTCTCCTGATCACTATTATTTTGTAACATTAGCAATCATAGGCGCCGACTTATATATTTTAGCACGGGGACAAATAAAATATTTATCCTATTGTTCATGAATATTATTCCAATTCTCTTTATTGGGTTCAAATAAATGAAAATAAAAATAAAAATTACATGAAATTATGAAAATACAATTTATTTTCTAACTTAATTACAATACATTACATTTTATGATGACAATTTTACAATCTAAAATTATATTTTTTTCAATTTAAAAGTATTTCTTCTTGTCATGCACTTATTTATGAACATATTTCCTATTTTGCTTAGGTCTAAAGATTCTGCTACTGTGTTATGGCAATTTAGAAATGCCAGATCATTTAACCTGGTCTGCGTCATTGTACTTCTGGTATAAGTTTTTAACCTCCTCAACATAGAAAAAGATCGTTCGGTAGTACATGTAGTAACTGGTATTGTTAATATCAATTGTATGCATTTCCTGAGCTCTGTTAAATGAATGACTAAATACGATTTATTTTTAAAAATATTTAATATATCTGCGAATGATGAAACAATTAATCCTTGGCCTTTAATTATATCATGAAATATATCTCTATGAAGTTTTAGCTTATCAATATTTATATCATCCTTGTAAAATGTACATATTATTTCGGGTGATATTTTTGGATCAATTAAAAACATTTCCACATTACATAAAAATGATCGAATTTCAGAGTTAAATCTTAGTTGTAAGCCAGAAAGTATATGATCAATGATTTCTTTATATATTTGATTATATTTACTTTCAGGTGAAAATTCAAAGGACTTTGTTACTCAGTCTTCATATTTTTGAGGTTTTTTTCGTTTTCTAGATTCCTTTGGTGCATCTAATTTTAAATCTGACCATTCTTTCTTTGCAGATTTCCATAAAATGTGAAATTTATCTCTCAAATTTGAAATAGTATCTTCTAAAGTATTCAAAATTTGAACAGAAAGTTTAAAATCTAATGATTTACTTTGCAATACTGTATTTGTAGTCTTCATGTGTTTAAAAATACTTATCACTATTTTAAGCATTATATAAGTATCTGCAGTTTTTAATTGTTTGAAAAATCCATTTGCCTTTGAACCTGCATCATTGTGTTCAGTTTTTGAAAAATCTGACAAAAATGTTAATAGCTCATTGTAGTTATCCATAACAGAACACAGAGATGTATATCGTAACGTACATCTAGTAGGACAAAATGGTCTTAGAGATGTCATATTTTCGTCTTTTTGATTCGTTTTAAACCAAGATAGTCTCTTAGGTGATTGTTTAATAAATGTAATTAATTCTCTTATAAAATTTAGTACATCTCTAGCATTTTTTACATTTCGCATACCATCTTGGGTAACAAGATTTAAAGAATGAGCTTGACAGTGAACAAACAATGCTCTTGGTTCAATTTATTTTATTCTAGCTTGTAATCCTTTATGAATTCCAGAAACATTGCTAGCACCATCAAAACATTGTCCTCTAATATTATAAAAATCTAATTCCAATCTACACAAAATATCTTTCAGAATTTTGAAGAGTATCAGAATCTGTTTTAGGCGTTTCGTAAAAACCCATAAAATATTCTTCGATTTCCAACGATTCTTTGTCCACTGTTCTTAAACAAAACGAAATTTGTTCTTTGACAGTAATATCACTAGTTTCGTCTAATAAAATGGCATAAAATGTGTTTTCTTTAATTTGTTTGATAATATTTCTAATGACTTCTAATGACAGCATGCTAAGAATTTCATTAATTATATCGTGAGAAATCCACTTATATTTTGTTCTACCTAACCAGTTATTTAATTCAGTCGAATCTTCCGATCGAAGTTTTAATAACTGATTTAAATTTGCAGATTCGTCTGTATGCCCTCTTAATGCTAAGCCTTGTTTTGCCAAAAAAAATACTGAAGATATTATTTTATCAAGAGCTAATCTAGATTCTTCCATAGACTTTTTATGACTATCCGATATTTGTGCATATATATTTGCATTTGTTTTAATAAAAGAGTTTTTAACTACATTAGTTTTGTGCAATTCTGAATTTTCGTGCATATTAAACCTTTCAACAGCTTTTTTCCAGTTATTAAAACCCTCGGAAATAAATACAGAAACATTATTATTACTATTATTACTCATGGATCTACACAATTTGCAAAAAGCTTTATCATCGATTTTATTATGTTCTAACCAGTCGTATTTATTTAACCAAGATGCTAAAAATTTTCTTTGTTTTAAAACATCTATAGAGGACGAATTATTTCCATAATCAATTTGATTATCACAATTTAAATTTATGTTAGAAGTGGAAGTAGATGAAGATAAACTATTATCAGAATTAATAAGGCTATTAGAATCAGAATTGTTTTTTCGGAATAGTTTTTTTTTGTACATACTTCCACATAGACATAATGAATTATTTTGTGTCTGAATTACTTATTTGGTATGCCCTTCAAAAGTTAAATAATTTTTAACTCATATATTAAATAATATGGTCTATAAAGAAAATATAAATTACCTTAGTGTTGTCAATCTGCGAATAAAGCACGTATGCTTCGTATGGACAGCGACAGTAAAATGATCAACTACTGAACTACATAATGTAATACTCAGTATTCAGTTATCAGTACTGTATAAATGTAGAATAGTCAATATAATTTAGAAGAAATGAAAATACCATAGTACAGGTTATAAATAATTCCAACTGAAGACATTGTTATTAAGTTTCAGTTTGTGCGTGTGTATAAAGTACATATATAGTTATCACACAAGTCTTTTGTCATTACCGTGACTATTAGGCATTTCTAATTGGAGCTATATACATTATACATATATATACGTTATCTATAATTTGTGGTATCTTATGAGTTATGTTCAGCTATTTTTAGATAATTTGTCCTTTTGATAAACATTTTCATATCGATATCGAAATTCAATAGCTTATAATAATAAGTAATAACCAAATAATTTTTTTCACAAAAGTGAAATGCTGTTTCTACGTTTTACCACCCATTAAAATCGAAGAACGGGGCAACGCCCACGTTGAAATTAAAGTACAGGGGCAATTGCCCCCGTTGCCCCCGTGTAGTCGGCGCCTTTGCTAATAGCAATTATTATATTTGTTTCTTTAATTAGTTAATTACAAATAGTTGTTTATTTATTTAATTATTTTATATTATATTGATCATACATTTTAAAATTGTGTTATTAATATGAGAACAAAATAACAAAATATATTATTTTTAGTATAACATAGTTTATAAAGTTATTATTATAATAATTATAAGTAAGAAAAGAGAAAATTGAGGTATAAATTCGTTTTTATTTTTTTATTGTTATCTTGGGGATTTTAAACGCGGTAAGAGCCACTAGTTGGGCGCCACTTTGTAATGATTTAAAATGTTTTAACTTTATTTTATATGGGAAATATTTATATGTTTTTTTAAATCATTACTTATTATATTATAAATAAATAAAATTACCTCTCTGATGATTGTGTCGACCTGCCTATTGAATCTTTGTTTTTTACTGACAACCGTTAGTTAGGTTTGACAACGGTTTTTTATATAAGCTATTATGTAGGTAGGTACGTTGAAAGTTCATTATGTGGTAATCTCCCGTTTCCTTCTAAATTCGTTTTATTCTGTAGATATGTATTTTGTTAAATAATTGTATTGTTTAACATCATTCCCGTTAGATTAATTTCGAAATAAATATTTATATTATATTTATGATTTCAAATAAACCCCAGCGGTTACCTATATGGTTTAAAATGCATAAAAGTTAAAAGTTTAAAATACGATAAATAAAATGTAATAATAAATAACGAAAAGATCAATAAACATAGTGAAACAAATATTTTCAGTTTCTCAAAAGTTTTTCCAAAACTAACATATTGTGTAGTAGATTATAGATTAGAATGAAATCAATCTTGTATTTTGAGCAATAAGTCTAAAAGTCTTCCACGATTTGTCATTTAAGCTTTAAAAACCTCATAGAAGTGCCGTCCGTGATTTTATACCTGTGCTTATGTAATGTATATATATTTTTTCAGAACCGAGTTTGTAAATCCTCATTTGATCAGTGTACGGTTGAATGAACGGAAACAATTCAATTCCAACGAAGAAAACAAAAAACTCGCTTATTTGCTGGACTTAAAGACAATTTGTATCGGTAATAGAAAAATACATTTTACCATCATTGTCAAATTTCCTTTTCTCATTTTTTTTCTTATACTATGTAGCTTAAAATCAAAGAGCTGCTATATCTCATTGAATACAAATTTATTACTAAATAAAAAATATATTTGCATATATACTCAAAAGTTATATGAGGCTACTAAAATATATTTTAGAATTGTTGTAAACAATAACGAAAGTATAATAAATCAAAAGCATGAAAACTATTTAATTTCTTAGGTACCTAGTATAAATGTGTTTTTTTTTGTAATATTTACATTTTTTGCGGGTTAATCATGTGAATCTAGTGTTTAAACTAAAAAAAATGTAGTAATTCTTAACATATACATTACAAATGTAGTTATATTTTTTAACGCATAACATTTTTTTATAGGGTAATTTTTTATTATTATTTAGAAAGCTACTAATTTAAAATAACAATTCTTCGAAAAAAATTTTTTTTTTTTTAATTTTTTATATAATGATTATAATTTATGTTATTTCATTTCATATGACCATAACACTTATCAACTATTAAATTAAAATCAACCGTCGGACTTCAAATAAAACGTATTTTAATTTAATACAAACTAGATAAAAACTTAGTCATAACATAATAATAGTTGTATTTGTAAGTACTGTTAATAAGATAAGTAAACTTCATCTAAATTTTAAATGAAAAACAATTAAATAACACGTGGAAGGAAATGGATATATTTGAATAAAATATTCTGGTCAATCATCAAATCATCTTTTTTTTTACGATTTATAAAGTAATAAAATGAGAAAAATAGTTTATTTGGTTAAAAAAATAGATGTAACGAAATATTAAAACAATAGCAAAACATTATGGAAAATATTTGATCAATTTGTTGACGCATATACACCAATATTATACATAAAAATCTGTAATTCTTAATGACCTAAAAACTTATAAATTAAATCCATAAACGGAAGTATTGAATCATATAGTTATATAGTTATATGTTATTTATATATTGGTCAAGAATATACTACCGCACTATATGTTTTCATCAATAATTAATCAAATGAATAACATTTGTCATATAACTATTGATTTACAACTTTGTGTAGTCGTCGAAGTTTCTTCCAAAGTTCGGTACAACTATCAAGTTTATTGGTATTTAACGTACCTAGTCAGAAAATCTGAAGATAAGTTTTGAGTAACTCGAATAACTACAACATAGTCGTTTTAATTTTTTCTGATTTGATTAATTTTTACCAATTATAAAATAAGTACTGGAAAAAGTTACTTTTTCGTTTTATGGTCAATGTAAAATTTTCTTTGCAATTGCATACATTTAAACCCAATACCTGAAACTTTCTTAAATTAAAATTAAAAATTTCAAATAATATTTTAATTTGTGTTTAAAACCAAACACAAGAAACGTTTTGTTAATTCACACTCAGAAAATTCTTTGTTTTCCTTATTTAATTCATATATTACTTACACGTAGTTACTTATAATTTAACATTTTATTAATGATGCAACACGATACCTGCAGTTTCTTAAAAACGTGCGTATATTTCTGTATATATTTAATTATTAAAAAAATTGGATATTAAATTTTTAAACATTTAACTACATTACCCCACAAATATTTGAATCGTACAACGTAGTACTGATTTACTTTATTTACATTTATTTGATAATAACGGAACTCTTATTAAGCATAATAATTAAATGTCATAGTTGCAGAGATTCTACAAAGTCCAATTGATTCAAAGTATTAATATGTAAATAAAAGAAATGTTGTTCCATACAAATATTAATGTTGAGCACTTGATTTAAAAATAGTTGAAGCACTTTATGTTCCCCACAACGATAAATATTGTAATAAGTTGTTAACCTTTCAGTGGACTTAGTTGTGGGAGTGGTTGATCTGCAGATTGGACATGGATCGAAAATTGACTGGCTTGAGCTGAATGAAACTGGACACAAACTACTATTCCGTGATAAAAATGCTACATTAACACTTTTAGATGCCCGAACTGGCCACAAGGAAATATTATTGAATGGATGCTCTTTTGTACAGGTATAATACTACGTCGACGTTCCATACTGAAATATCAATTACAATAAAAAAACATATATTATTGTAAAGTAAAAAAATTAGACAAAAACTCATATCATAAAAGAGTTTAAATATTTAAGGTGGTGTGCATTTCCAGAATAAAACAAGATAGACATTGGTTTGATACAAAAATGTTAAATATCAAGTTCTCGTATAATACTTTAATTTTGTTCTCTTAAATGTATTTTCAAGGTGCATATTTTTACGTTTATGATGCCATAAAAGTTTTATTACACTATTGTTACCTTTATCAAACACATTACAGAACGAATAAGGGAACACAGTTAAATAAAATATATTAAAAAAAGCATAAATGCAATTAATCGGTCATATTTTATTTATAAACGTATGCGAGTTATTATACGAGTATATAAATATTATATACAATATATATATATATATATTCCATTTTTTTTGGAGAAATTCTAATGACAGATAAATGTGCCATATCATTTTTAAAATTGAATATTTTATAAATACAATTACAGTAATTATGACATTTCTTTTTTTTATCGAAGCTATATAAACTGTTTGCACAAAAATAACATATACTAACCTGTTAATTTTATTCTATAGTATCTCAATATTGTTTAAATTTGTAACTACTTCCAGACATCTCGAAACTTTAAACAATATTTTTCCATATTTAATTTAATAATGTTGTTTGGGCAACAATGGGTTTTCCACATTTTCATTATCAGCGGTATTGCGTCTAGAACATTCTAGAAGTGCTCGCCGCCATCCCCCTACCCACCCGCGCCTTAATAACAACCGGTCACGTGTGTGATCGCACTGCGACCTTTTATTTTCATTTTTATTCCGACATAGCCCACATAGGCGGTCTACGTGTGTATAACGGGGTGTTTTGTGTCGCCTTGTCGTGTCCGTTTGTCGTTTCGCGTAGCGCGCACATAACGCGGTCGTTTGTGTCGCCTTGTCGCGTTCTTAGGTCGGTCTTATCGCCATTTTCTTTGGCGTGTTCGCGTGTGCGTTGCCGCGTCTGACTCCGCGGTCGTTGCGCGTGTTTATATTGTACCACGAGGAAGCGGTCCTGTTTGGTGTTACCATCGATGTCATATTATATCACCGTCCGGTCGCGATCATCAACTACCGACGCGGTCAGGTGACAGTCGGATTTTCGGTATCGTTATCAAGGATAATCATTATTATCATTACTTTATTATCACAGTTGTTGCATTATCATTAAATAGTATTTTCATTTTATTATATTGTAAGTGGGCGCCTACCTTTCATTATTATTATTATTATTATCATTATTATATTTACAATTGCAAAATACAGTCCTCTTTTTTTTGTATACATAAAGCCTATCGGTGTTTTATATTTATGATCATATAACTTTGTTAATCCCCTTTCCGGCATCATTAATACACGGCTCCAAACCACCTGCTGAGTGAACAGAAACGGGAAGTGGTCCGAACACAAATGCTGTTGTATTTTATATAACACGCCAGAATATGATATGTCATATTTAATTCATATACAGCTAACAGCAAGTACAGTTTGAAGGAATTAATAAAAAATGAACGTAGGTACACTTGAAATATTGGCGTAGCGTATATTAGCGTACTAATTTATTGACCAAAATTATTATGATTATTTTCGATTGCCCACTGGTACCGTTCAATAAACATTTTTAAATCCACTGATCTGTAATTAGATAAATGATTGAAAATAATTCAGTCAAGCGGTTTTCCTGTCCTGAGCGTTGTATCGATTGGCATTGAACGACTTTCCCTCACAGAAGAACAAAATATATTTTAATTTAACTTAATCACTTGTGAAACTAAGATTAGCCTGTTTTTCGAATACAAGTTCTCTGTCGATAAAAAATTATATAAACCACACAGTTTTTTTTTTTTTTTTAAAAAAAAAATTGTACGTTCGATTTTGACGTTTTAACGTCGAAATCTTCGCTGTTATAAGAACATTAAGTATTTCGATCACGAGATTCGGATTCTGGCCGAAACCTTATCGGCCGTACACCTTCCACTAACGCATGTAGTCAAGAAGCTTGGTCGAGACCAGACCCTTCGGCGTAGACTAACCTAACCGGCACAGAACGTTGATCATCGGTTATAACTAAATATTACAGATTATTCTTTGTTGCCTACGGTAGTAATTAAGTATGTTTGAATGTTTGAAATGATCTCTATTGTAATTGCTGCAAAATCGAGTACCTTATTTTGTGAAAACGTGTGATAGGCGAGTAGTCATAATAACGGACACAAACTTATAAGTAAAAAAAAAAAAAATCTTGGAGAATTGGGGAAAATTACCCTATTCTCCCTCCCCCTCTTTACTTATACTAATACGCTACTGGAAACAACCCTGGTACAGATATATTATATATACACATACACACACACGCGCACACGCACACGCATATATACATATATATTTATATAATATTAATGTTGTTTTGTATTTTCTGTGAACAGTGGGTGATTGGAAGCGATGTTGTCGTGGCTCAGGGACGACAAGGGGCTTGCGTCTGGTACAATATTGACACGCCCGACCGCGTAACCGTGTTAACGGTGATCGGCGATGTAATGTCCGTTGACAGGATTTCGGGCAAGACAACGGTAAGTCGTAAGACGAAAACGCATTATCGGTACGCTGCTGCTTCAGCTTCGGAAACTCTCCGTCCGTCCGTTCGTGTGTTGTAATTAAAAACCGGATTTATATGCATTTTAATTGTGAAATATGCTTACAAACATGCACTAAAAAATATTCATTATATACAAGAAAAAAATGCAAAAGATGCAAAATTAAATGTCTTTTATTAAAATATTCATGAACAATAATTAAGATGTATAGATTGTAAATATGCAATACAAAATTGTAATTTGTCGAACTTAAATTTAATTTTTAATAACTGATACATGGTAAAAAAATATTTGATTGAAATTAAGTAGTAGATACATCGGTGGTATAAATAGGAAAAAAGTACAAACAATTTAATGTAGTATGTTAGTTGGAAAAACAGTAAGTTATCAAAGTATGTTCCATGGTTATTTCTGTGAATGTATGATGGCGATCTGTAAGAATGTACTTGTAGGATGAAAAACTACATTCAACATCGATACTGGTTATTGGAATATTTAAAATTGGCTAGTATATATGGCGATTGATTTGGAACAGATAAATCGTTGAAATTAGCACTGTCACCTTGAAGTATTTTCGAAATTTCTTTTAAAACCATTAATCCTTTATTTTTATTCAAAACGTTTTTATATATTGTTTTAATTATTATACTATTTTCACTAGTAGGAAATTCATTGACAGAGTTTTTCACTTGTTCTAAAATATTTAACGAGTCTACCAGGGACAAATTAGAGGTTTCATGCTTTTTAATACTTTCAACAATATATAAAAAATTTTCTCTAATATAAGCAAAATCAAATTTTACATTTAATTTTTTTAAAATTGATTTACAATTTTAAATGGTTTTTGCACCATCTTCTAAATTTTCAATTACATTTTTGAACTCTTCAAAATGATCTATGTAAAATAAGGCGGACTTCAGCCAAGTACCTCAACGGGTAATTATTGGCTTTGATGGTAAAAATGTGTAGTTGACAAAATTTCTTTAAGTAACTGAATTCTTTATGGAGCATTTGAGAAAATCTTTTTTTCCATTATTAATTAAACCATTCATATCACGAAAAGTATCAATAATTTTTTCGGCAATTTGGTGAAAACCATGAGCGACACAAATTACATGTACAAGATTTGAATAAAATGGTTTTACATTTTGTGCAACTTTCGAAATATAAGGGGTAGCATCAGATAACATCAACAAAACTTTATCATCATTGTTACCTTCGGGGCACAATAGTATAATAGAAATGTTTACAAATCGTGCTATAGTTAAATTATTTGTTTTTTCGTGAACTTTCTATGTTAAAAGATACGGTTTAGAAGGTGAATCTGCATTCAATTTATCAACAATAAAATTTGTTCCATATTATACTCAAGGATCAGTAGTTTCATCAATAGAAAAAAAAATGTACGAGCTACCTATGTATTCCAGAATATTTTGTAAAACGTCTGTATAACGTTCATTTAAATAGTTTTTTCTTAATATACTTTCATTTGGTATATGTTTATTTGTGTACTTTTCCAAAAAAGATTTAAAGTTTTTATTTTGTATTTTATGTAGAGGTATGTTTGAAGGAATTAATGTACCTATTACAAAGTTCTTTGAAAAATTGTGATTGATTTTCTATAGATGTTGATACTTCGCGAACAAAGGTTTGTTTAGAAGATTTTTTCAAACATTTTTCATGCAAAAATTATTTTGCATGTAGATCAATTAGACATTTTTTTCTGCTGCTTACCGGTTTTTGACAATGCTGACAGAAAACTGTTGTATTATTTAAAACTTTTAAAACCTCACCAGAAATATTGTATGGCTCAATCTATTTTCTAATTGGTAACAGTTTTGAATTCGGGATTTCGAGCATTTAAACTGTTTAAAAATTAATTGGTAAATTACAAAATGATTTTAAGCGAAAAAATACATACAGTGTACACTCAACACTCACTTGGCTACAACGAAATTCTAACTAACAACAATCGTCTTGTATAAATGTAGCAGTGGTTGTAATATCGTGGTTTAATAATAATTATATTTGTTGTTTCGAGAATTTTATCAACAAAATTAGATAAAATAGGTAAATCCACTATAAAACTCTAAAAACTATAAAAGTCTCCATTATAAAACTCGTACAACCAACTTGATGGAAGTTAAGTAACCTATTTATAGAGTCCGAATATTATTTGAGCCGTAAAATATTTTATATTATATAAACGTATCTGTAATCTGTTATTTTTGCTCAACACCTTTTGGATCCTTAAGTGTATATTTGTACGTTGTTTTGTTAAAATATGCAAAAATATGCAGAACATGCACTAACCTCAGAATATGCAAAAATATGCAATATAAAATGTTTATATTTAATCAATCAAGTAATGATTTATGGACACTCATTGATTATGTGTATATGATGATGTTGAAAATAACAACATGCATTTTATGCAAAATCCTGTTTTTAGTTGTAACGTGTGGTCGAGTTCTAAATAAATGCATAGCGGTATTATCATAAGCGTGTACGAATTTTCCGTATGACCGCTACATTTTGTTGAAACGATTACATTTTTTTCGAACCGGGGGAAAAAAAAATTATAATTTTGCTTCTGTCGAACTCGTAATACGAATCATTTGTAACAACAATTACGGATCCGTCGCGTTTGTATTACTTCAATATACGAATATTAAACGAAAACGTAACGGTTTACCACTTTTCGGTTTAACTACCCTCTAAGCATGGACAATATATCTCCGATCGTACTCATCGACCGCGCAGCGGATGCACGCATTGTACGATATGTGAAGGGTTAAACGATTTCTATATTTTTTTATATATAATTTTTCGAATTCAGGTAAAAATGCAATTATTTCCCTCGTAGACACTTTGAACCGTTTTTACAATATAAATGAGTTTTCAAAAATTAACGAATTCCCGAAACACGCCATCGTTTTTACAAGTTCCTAAAATTTATTTATTTATTTATTTTTTATTAATAAATAGTTTTTGACAGTTTTGACAAATCTAATGTATTCTTTTTTTGCGATTTTCTACTCGTAAACGTAACTTTGTACTATATTATGCAAAAAGAATGCTTGAAATACCGCAACAACTTAATATCATTTTTTTCCCTCCTAATCAAAATCAGAATGATAATAAATAATTGTTTATACAATATGTTCACAATCATATTAAATAAACGTTTAAAAATATTCTTCTAGAGGAAAAAATAAATGTAAAGTTGATGTTTTTCAAAGGTGAACTATGAAATCTTTGTCCCAAAATTATATTTTTATTAATGAAAACTGAAATTACTTATAAGGTAAGTAATCAATTATAATATTAAAGATTATTCAAAAAAACAATTCAATTAAATTAATCTTAATTAATCCCATAGTTAAAACCTGTATATTATAACAGATATGTTTTTACTATAGGATTAATAGAACTAATAATGTAAAATAAGGAAATGCTTCATAGGTCACTAGAATGGAACGTCCTATGATATGATATTTTGAATATAACTATTATCACTTCACATAAAAACAGTTATCCGTAAATAACGTATTTAAACATTATATTTCAGTATAGGAGCACGCAAGACATAAACTAAAATAAATAAACAATTGAAAACGTGTATTAAATAAAAAAAGCTGAACAATTTATATCAGAAAACGAAAGAAATATGTATAACGTTTGATGCTATAATGTTTTAATTAAATAAATGATTTAATTTCAGAGAATGAAAGCTTTAATTTTGAAAACTTATAACAATTAACATTCTCAAAATTTTAGGTAAATCTATACTAATATTTTAAATATGAAGAGTTTGTTTATTTTAACGCGCTAATATCAGGAACTTTTGGTTTGAATTCAAAAATGATTTTAGTGTTAGCTAGTCCACTTATTGAGGAAGGCTATATAGGCAGTCATACAATAGGAGTAGATTAATAAAATATTTTGCAAACAATCAATAATAAATATTAGTAATGTACACCACTATATAAAAATCCACAATAATATTCCTACTGAAAACTCTCTGATGTAGTAATAATTTTTTATGATTTAAAAAAGAGTGTTTAGAACTCGAATAATCCATTTTTCGCATTATTTTTACACTTTTTTTTCTTCTTATTCTTTTTACCCATATAATTAATATAATCACATTCAGTATTGTGTATACTGAATTGTTTATAATACTTTCTTTCTACTTTTTTCTTATATATTTTATACAATTGGTATGATACACCTGTAATTGTAATTATATTAAAAAGGCTTAGCTCGTATATATTCTCAAATAAAATAAAATAATTGGTTAATTCTTAAAGAAGATTATTAAATCTTAGAAAAATTAATTGAATTGCCGAAAATATTAATGTAATATAATTATCGTATGTATAAAACTAAATTACCGGCAATCGTATTTATGTTTTGTAACTTGAAAACAATAGCCATTTATTATTAATTTACTATTAATATATATTAATGTATAATATATTTATCGTTGTCATATCGCGAAGCATTAGATGTGAATAACTGCCGTTGGAACCTTCTATGTGTGTATGTATGGAAAACAAAATAACAGAACTTAATAATTGATAATAATAATAATTATTGATGCAGAATTGTGAGTTTATTATTCGGAAAGAAGTTTCTATGTCGTAAAAAGTTCAGTTGAGGCATATATTATATATATATAGACTTACGTAATAAAAGCACATCGACCAAAGTCTTATTTTCTCAAGATTTTCGTAAAATCTAGCCAGTTAGAGTAAAAGTAACGAAAGCTGATGAAGCCAATGCATTGACAAAGACATTTTGTATTTTATTAGACAAAACTAAATTGAAACTTACAACTAATATCAGGATTTTTTTGAACAAAGTCATGGCATTTTTGCTGATGCTTCGTATTGATAATGGTCAGTCACTGACTATAAATGTTAAAACTCATTTGACTAATATTTATTTTTTTAATGTCTAATTTGGAGGAC